GGCCCTTTTTACTGGAAATAAGGCATTCCATCTTAGTCCTCATAGGTGACAACGCATCTGCATTTTGATTCGCAAACGAGGATAGTTGTAGATGTCTATGGGCCGCAGCAACCACTTACCATCAGGTGGACTGTGTGCTCGTTTGTCACCCATATCCTATAAAAAAAAGAAAAAAAAAGAAAAGGATAGCCCCGAGCTTAGTGTGAACCAGTAATTTCAATTTTACAGACATACACTTCAATTTTATTTATATTTATAGATTATAGGGGGAAGTGGGGCAGATTGAAGCATAAAAATTTAAAGTCACTTTTAAGTGCTTAAATAACGTTATAATTTATATTTCTTATGTTTTCTGTATTGCTACATCTATAAATATAATAAAAGTAATCAAAAGAAACTGTACCAGTTAGATCGCCTCACAGAATACATTCCGAAAGGATTCAACTTCCCACAAAGTTGTAGCAGAACGTATTGTTACACTTTTCTTTGGTTTCACTTCGATTCTCCATAAGCGGAACCAATCGACGGCTCCATGGCTCAGTGGCTTAGCAATCAGTTGTTGCGCTAGGGGCCGCGGGTTTGAATCCCGCACGGAACAAGTATTTGTATGGCCTACAAATAATTGTTCCGGGTCTAGATACTTGTCCTTGTGCAATTTATGTTTGTAAACTGCCTCCACGACATAGGAGAAAATCCTAGTGTGGGGGTAACGTTTTTAGGAAAAGAAAAAATTAATGCATAAAAATAATATAAAGCTTTTAGTGAAAAAAGTGATTTGTATCATTGTGCCCCACCTACGGGGCACTTAGTTACAAGTCATGGGGCACTTTGATACAAAATAAAAGACGTATGGAAATATTATTAATTTGAAACTCTAGTATGCTAATAATACTTTTCTTATTCCAACACGTCATTTTAACCATATATCTTTTTCATAGAAACTTTCTATGATTAAACAGAAAAATAATTTTAGTTTTCCTTTGATATAAATCAAAACAACACATTTTAAATTTCTATACTGCACCTTATAGGCACTTAAATTAACTGAAAAAGTATACTGAGATGATGTTCAAAATGTACCATTTGTACAATTTGGTTTAGGCAGAGGTAAAACTACATCTTGGAAATTAAGCTTGGTCTTCTATATTCGGCAAAACAAAAACGCATGATCCTGGTTTCTTTCTGAGGTAGGACACTTGGTATTCGGTCGAATTGTATTTGGACAAGACTTTGGTCACGTAATAGACTGTAGATTTCTTCTTATCAAATTTAATAAGCAAGAAATCTTCAATGCTTATATTTTCGGGATCAGGGGCATAACTATGTTCTTTAACTTCCTCGTCAAGTAGCTTATCCAGATCATTGACGCAATCATTACATAATTTCATCGACTCATTCAGACTGGATTAAGAATCAGACTGCGATTGTAAACAGACTTTTTTCTTTCTAGATTTCTTAGTTGTCGTTAATGCCATTAATTTTTTTGCAGTTTTCAAAGCTTTTGCTTTCTCCTTCATAATTTTCAGTTGTCGAATTTGTTCTTTTTGATCTTTTAATATCTCCAATCTGTTCTTATCCGGCGCTTCAGTATAAACCCTAGATTTCCCCTTTTCTATTTTTCTAGAGGTTTTTTTATTCGTAACTATTTTTGGGTATGGGCTTACAGCTTTAGGGGACAAAACAGTCGCAGAAGTCGATGTAAAATCATTTGTAAATGGAGTAGCGCTGGAAGATGATTAAGCAAGGCTTAGAGGTGCAGCAATGTCCGACTGGTGATTGAGAGGATCGACTTCATTAGCTAAAATCTCGCCTCCTACATAGTTTTCATTAACTCTATCTTGATTTGTCTCGATTCCCACAAAATTCGTTCTGAAATATCGCACCAAGTACTTCTATTGGAGCAAAATCGTCATCTCCAAAAGATAGTCTGTTGAATGGCCAAATCCCTGGCTTTGAAAAGCCACTTGTGATATTTCATGGCGTAAAATATTCTAGAAAGGCCGATTTGGTAAGTTCAGTTATATTATAGATGGATAAAGATTTACTAACATTTAGAACATGCCAATCTTTGAAAGCTATTTTGAATTTGTATTAAAGGGGCCAAAAACGCTAACATCCAATGATTGTAGTTTGTGGGATGTATGTGGCAGCAGGGGCAGATAAACCATTCCATTGTCGTGACAAAAAATTAATGCTTGAATTGATATGTGACTCGTTGTTGCCACAAATAGATAACATTGGATTATCTTTGATACATTATGTGTGCCGTTGAATATCTTTAAAAACTTCAACGTGCAATTCTGCCGTCATCCAGCTACTCCTGTTTGATAAACCAAGGCTTCCAACCGAAGCGCCGTTTAAAAAATGGTCTTTGAAATAAACACGGTTTAAAAAATGGTCTTTGAAATAAACACGGGGAAAGACAGACAGGAGGAAAAGCAAAACCTTTTGCAGTTATTATTCCGCAAAATGTAACTAGCTCTTCCCTTTCGGCAGACACCATTTGTCGTACTTGCCTCTGTGTCTTTTCAGCCAGAACTTTAGGTGTAGATAAAACAGTAGTTACTCAGTTTCGTCAAGGTTGATGAACCGATCAGGAGCAAATTTATACCTATACATACTAATAAATAGTAATAACATTTTAAATTGGGGCAGAATGATACGCATCAAAGTGCCCCACAGTTTACCGTATCATTGTGCCCCAACAGAAGTTTTTGTAAAACGTTAACATCATATTTATTTATGTTGATTTATTAAGCTAAAAGCATTAAACTCCTATTTATGAATGGAGTAACTTACCTTTAGTATGTATAAATACTTCAAAGAAATTGTAGAATGTGAGTGAATCTCTTTTATATTCCACGTGTTTTTTTAGTCAGGCGAACACAAAACACAAACTATGTTGTCTAACGCCATCGGCTAATTGGATGGCGGCGTGGCCACAAGTGCTGCGCTAAGGCAGGCATAGACAAGTTATAGTGTTGTCACGACTCGATTACATCTAACCGATTATGATATATGTTAGGTGAATCAATCTGCCCCTTGCATCAATCTGCCACGCCTCCCGCTAGATTTAAAAAAAACTAGGAGTAAACATCCATTTTCGATTTGTACTAACGTTGCATGATCCCGAAGTTACCACTGACTATCGGATGTATAAACGTTTTTCATTGGACATTGTTTTGTAATAATACGTGTTGTGAAATTTAATTAAAGTAACAGACTTACTCATTACGATTCCTCTCCCTATTAATGTGCTATATTTTACGTGTTATTTCTGTAATTAGATAATAAAGCCGACTAAATATAAACAGGCAACGTGACCTTGACAAGTCGACAATAAAATTTAACCTTAACGCTTCTAGTTCAGGATGTGCAAAACTGTGTAGTAATTATTATTTTATTTCTGCAAGAAGAGAGTAAACACCTCTAGGATACTATGATTTACTATCAAGTACTGGATCACCGCTTAGTATTAAGGGGATCGTAGTCGAATCAAGTGTTCAAATTTAAGTTAAAAATTCCTTCATTCTTTTGTTATGTATATATTAGATAATGGTTAACGAGTCTTTTTGTGAACGCGTAAGTTCTAAATGACTTGAATCCCCTGAGCTACCATGGTGTGACTTATTATTGTTATAAGCATAATTAATACTGACCCCGAGTTTTAAATGACTTGAATCCCTTGAGCTAACACGGTGTTATTACTGTAATAGGCATAATTAATACTGACTGCAAGTTTTAAGCGACTTAAATCCTCTAAACTACCTCGGTGTTAATTATTATTGTTATAGGCATAATTAATACTGTCCGCAAGTTTTAAACTTACGATCCACTTTGCAAAAGTCTAAAGTGCTTACAGTTCTCAGTTTTGCAATCGAATTCATAGCTTGCATATTTATCATTCTTATTCTTAAAGTTTTAACAAGTACACTCTCAACTTTGAAAAGTCGTAAATGGGAATATTATGACAAACGAGCACACAGTCAACCTGATGATAAGTGAATACTGTAGCCCATAGACATCTACATTTATTCTCGATTATGTATATTAAAATGCAGTTGTGTTGTCATCCCTGAGAACTAAGATAGAATGCCTCGTTTCCAGTAAGAAGGGTCTCCGGTTCTCACTCAACATACGAAACACAGTAACATTAAGCTATTATTTAACGCTGTGTAGTTTTACACATCCTGAACTAGAAGTGGTAAGGTTAAATTTTATTGTCGACTTGTCAAGGTCACGCTGCCTGTTCATATTATTCGGGTTCATTATCTAATTACGGCTATAACACATAAAATATAGCACATTAATAGTAAGAGAAATCGTAATGAATAAGTAACCTTAATTAAATTATACAACACGTATTATTACAAAAAAAATGTCCAATGAAAAGCGTTTATATGTCCGTTAGTCAGTGGTAAGAAATAGTGCATTATCAAAATATTTTGAGAACGACTTGATAATTTTTATTCACTGTCTTCGGAATCATGCAAAGTTAGTACAAATCGAAAATCAATGTTTACTCCTAGATTGTTTTAAATCTATAATCTATAAATATAACTAAAATTGAAATAACTGGTTCACATTAAGCTCGGGGCATTTTTCGAATGCTATTAATAAATTATTTTTATTTTTGTCTGTCTCTCTGTCTGCATATCAATTGTGCTGAAAATTGACGAACGCATTGTAAGCAATATCAGGAGGGATCTAGACTATAGTTTATGCAAAACATGTTAAATCTGGTATCAAATATTTGAACAAAACTATTACTGCTAAAACCGGCAGTTTTACATATAAATAAACACTCATTCTAAAATAGTAATCATGTAACTAGAGGACCAAGGGGTGGGTTTCAATGTTTTTTTTTCTTTTATAATTTTTAATTTTTTCTTAGATTAGTGTAATTCTAGAATATTATTACTTATTGTTTCATTATTAGGGGTAAGGGTATGTGCCTTTATACAAATAACTGAAGCAATTAATCAAATAAGCTATCTTACCGAAAGTTTTCGAAAACACCCACGAGAGACGAAATGGAATGATTGATTCTCTTATCCTTCCTTCTTTCCTCCTTCTCCTTCTTTTCTTTCCTTTCCTTTAATCTTTTCCCAAATAATTATTAATCTATGTTCGGGTTTCGAGAACTTTCTAATAAATATATATAGCGTATCAAAAGTTATTCTTTAAGATAGCAAAAGTAATAAGACCATTAGGAATATTGACGGAACGTGACTGTTTCGGAGGTTACTTAGGATTAAAACGCCTATTGATTTTATTGCTTTATTAAGCCCAATGAATCAATTGAAGATGGTTTAAGATAGCCCTCTCGAGCTCAGCGGTTACTGCGGTACCTGTATACTAGTTTTACAAGTTCTTATATCAACATCAACATCAAAAAAGTATAAAAAGCAAACTACGGACACAATAACTTAAGCAGTAGGTACAATAAGGCGGTCTTATCGCTAAAAGGCACCTTCCTTCATCTAGGTAAAAAGTTGAATTGTGTAGTACAAAGTTTTATAAAATATAAATTATCTTTCTTGTTTATTCTTTTAAAGACTAAAGGTGGCAAACGAGCACTCATTCCACGTTTTTTTATAGGATAAGGGTGACAATCGAGCACACAGTCCACCTGATGGTAAGTGGTTGCTGCGGCCCATAGACATCTACATCTATCCTCTATTACAAATGAAAATGTAGATGCGTTGTCACCCGTGAGGATTAAGATGGAATGCCTCATTTCCAGTGAAAAAGACCTCCGGTCACCTGCACTCACCAAGCGAAACGCAGAGGTAAACCTCTACTTCACGCTGGTTTTCTGTGAGGTCGTGGTACCACCCCGGTTCGAGCCGGCCCATCCGTGCGACAGCAAAAGCTGCCGCGTGGCTCTACCACTGTTAAAACCACCACCACATGACGGTAAGTAAATTCTGTGACCCATATCGACATGCAGGTGCGTTTCCATCCATAGGGACAAAACTAGAATGCCAGGTGTACCAGTAGATACGTTCTTCGTTTCTCTACACATACATAAATTAGCAGATTTTTACTTTTTTACGCTATTCTGTGAGAGCGTGGAATGACCCAGTCGAGCCAATCAACACGTGTTGAAACCACGTAGCTACAGCGTGACTGCCACGTCAAAAACATAAAAACATAAAAAGTAGTTATTTCAAAGACAATATTATTTTAGCAGTTTAGTTGAGGATAAGTTCTGGCAATCCTATATTATTTGCCTTTGCCTTGTTCTAAATTTGTGTTCTCAAGTAGTACTTCAGGCAGAGTCTTGTAATCTAAGCGTCGGCTAACTTTCAGCAATTGTCTCAGTAAAACGTTTGTTTGTTCGTATTTATGCGTTACCATATCGTTTATCGGATTGCGCTTAATCTTTGTTAAATTATTGCTCGCACTTGCGCAAAGGTTAGAGGTATAGTACAATTAGCTTACAACTAACTTACTTACAGTAGGTGACACGCGCATCTTACAGACAAATTTATTTGAATATCATATTATGTCATTCAATTGTAGTGAATTTATTTAAGGTATTATCATCCTTAATTAAACAATATAAGTTTTCTAATTGTAAAACGATGTTTTCTAAATTATTTCTGTTGCGGCTGTAATGCGTCGGGTACCAGCTAGCCTCATAAAAAAAATTAATTGTTGTCCGTTAGTCTCCCTAAAACTCAAAAATAGCTCAACTGCTTTTGATGATTTGTTTTGTGTGTGTTTGAGTGGTTCATGAGTCCATGAATTGTTTAGATTCACAATTGAACTCGGTAGGTTGTCAGAAATAGGCCATGAGAAGCAGGGCCATTTCTGGATCTTGAAAAGTTGCAAACGGTGTGCGGACACGAAAAACTGTCCCGCCCTGCTGAGCACGCCAAGCTTTTTGGAGGCCAATTTGGCCTTCTCTTCAAAGTGACCATGAAACTGCACATTATTCGATATGTCGACGCCGAGGATTCTGATACTGGCTGAGGCAACAAAGGGGTGTGCATTGAAAGTGAGAAAATACGACAAAGGGGTTCCTTTAAGCGGTAAACGCGCAAAGTAGTGTCTTCTGGGGATTGAACTGGTCTATATTTAGTCGCCCCCAATCGTAGACTTTGTTCAACAAAGACTCGACTTCAGACACAAGTTTGTTCCGGTACTCGGTGATGATTTCCAGAGAAATATTGGCACAGCTAGTGCTGTCGTCTGCATAGCAATGAATATTACCGGTTTGCGACATATGATTGATATGCAGAAGAAATAGCGTCGGTAATAGCACGCAGCCTTGTGGAACACCAACATTAATGGGCTTGCAGTCGGAGCACGCATATGAAAATCATAGAGTAATTAGACTTAGAAAGATAGTGTCATTCGGAATTATGTTCAAAATTGAAGCAACAACATCATGAATGTGTGCATAAGCGGCCTGGAATCACGTTTTCCCACACACACATAAGTAAATGAGTAATGTTTGCAAGTAAATGACATTTTCCCCAAAAAGTGGGAAAAGTGTAATAGAATATAGTGTAATAAAAAAGTGTGAGAAGATTACCCTACGCTTTGCTTATCGCTATAATGCTACCAATCGGCCCCCCGAACGGGTTCACGCCAGTACGTGGTGGAGAGGGCTTAATAGCCGTGGCTCGGTCACCCGTGATGAACTAAGAGCACCCACATGGCTGGCCTCAGGTGTTTGGCCGGCCCTAGGTGGCTACTTCGGGTGGGCTACGCGAGCTCATTTCAGATGTGTGTTGATGGCTTGTGGCGAGAGGGGTGGTGCGTCACTCGCCCTACGTGACTCTGACGGGCCGCACCGTTGAATGGTGCGATGTTAGTGGGGATGCGGGGGGAGAGGACTGGCAGTATTGCGAAGCGCTGCTTTCCCTACCATCCGATGACGATTCTTGGTTGGCGGCAGAGTCATAGACCAGATCTGCCGCTGGGTTCAGGAAGGCTAGTCCTTCTTAGTGCTCGTTTTTCCTGGCCCCTTGGCCTTCGCGCATTGGACACGGGGGCGTCTGGTGCGTAGGTGAATCTGCGCGTCATGTGTTTTGGAATACCCTACCTGAGAAGGAGATGAAGGAAGAGTATTACCCTACCGAGGATGAGCGCCCATTGGGCAGCCAGCACTGTAGGGGTCGCGGATGTTTGCGAAAACGTTCCCGTGTCCCTGACAATATACGACGAAGATGAACACCATGGGGTTTTAGTGGGTGCGAGTCCGACATAACCCGTACTTTCCTCCGCGAGGCGGTTATGTTTAGGCATTCCTCCATCTAAAACAAAAAGAATAAATAAAAAAAGAATGCTACCAATTGAGAAAGTTCGTCGAGCTGGACTATTGTCACTTCAGCTTACTGGTCTAACAGAGATGTCGATTACATTGGTTCTACTATGGAAATCATCGCTACGAATACTAACACGCAGAAAAATTCCGATCATAGCCCTCTCCATAATCCTCTGAGCGGACCTTGACTTCCTCATAGGCCACCACGTCTAAGATTCGACTTTGAGGAATACTAATTTCAGTATATATATTAATTTCAATTCCTTCGATATCACACATTCCAGTCATAATACAAAGTCACACGCAGCGCAAAATCATAATATAATAAAAATATATGTATTGGCATAGTTGCCGCTGGGGTTGACAATTTGCATAATTTGGTTGTTAGTTCCTACTAACAACCAAATTATGCAAATTGTCAACCTGCTGAAGACGCTGCTGCCCATCTCCTGTTTTGTTTACGACGACACTCATGGATCGTTATGGGGTAGTAGATATTCGTACACAGTCTAAACGGTATAATACATATATGGTTTATAAATAGGTCAGAGAATTAAGTAAATAAAGAGAATTAATAAAGAAATTGAGTGATGTTATATTTTTATACAGACACATTGATTTTTTTATATTTGTTGGAAATTTGTTAAGTTTTAACCTACAAGAAATTCGAAACAACTCTGCAAAGGAACTTTTTCAACATGATCTGGTATAAGAAATAAATGAAGCTCCAACATGCAGTGAAGTGAAACAATCCTTTAGTGTTTATATTGAAATTTGCTTCAATCACACAAAACTTCATGTATGTACAAATCTGAAGTAGCTTTATATTTATGATTGAAAATAAAAGATAATAAAGGAATCTATTCAGGGGGCCTTCTTTATAGTATTTTACATCAGTAAATTATGTATTTCTATACTTTACCTACGTGGAAGATTTTTACAGCTGTATTAGCAGCTTAATACTGCTGTGATTCGTATGGTGAGTCTACACTCACCTCTATACTCTGCGCCTGCGCTCGAGGCTGACAAGATTAGTTTCAACCAAATCAAGGTCACCAATGAGCCTTTTAGTACGTCTCTCTACTGAGTCCAATGCTGCCAGGTGGCATTTTGCAGCACCAGCCCAAATGTGACAGCAGTACTCCATGCACGACCGGACTTGCGCTTTATATAAGGTAAGAAGCTGACCCGGCCTGAAGTACCGCCGCACCCTTACAAGGACACTAAGTTTCCTTGCGGCGGCTTTGGCTCTGGGCTCAATGAACAGCCCATTGTTTAGGTTCGGAGAAAATTCAATCCCTAACAACTGAAGGCGGTCAGTGTACTCCAAGGATACAATCCGAAAAGTAGGAGCCAAGGTGAGCGGGCTCCCTTTAGCGGTAAAAAGACACGCTTGTATTTCGGAGGCGTTAAATCTCACGAGATTGGCATCGCCCCATTCGGATACTGCCTGTAGTGTGAGACTCACACGCTAAACCATAGCCTCTCTTTCTCACTGGCCCTGGTACTTGGTTGGTATCTCTTCACAACTTTGCTGTCGCCTGCATACCCATAGATACCGGGAATGAGCAGATAATTTATATGAAGCAGGAAGAGAGTTGCGGAGAGAACGGACCCCTGAGGAACACTGGCGTTAGTCGCCACAGTACCGGATGAGCAGCCATCGACGATGATCCGGAGAGATCATTCACTCAAAATGTCCTTAATCCTGGCAATCAGGCCAGGGGATAAGCCGTACGCTGAAAGCTTGCCCAATAGACTAGCGTACCGAACCCTGTTAAAGGCCTTCGAAACATCGAGGGAAACAGCAATTG